TGGACCTTGTGAGGTCGTGCAGAAGATCAATGATAATGCTTACAGGTTGCGACTTCCCAGTCACTTGAAGACTTCTGATGTCTTTAATGTGAAGCACCTGAGTCATTGTTTTGTGGATCCTGATGACACTACTCTGAACTCGAGGACGAGTTCTTTCCAACCCGGGGCGACTGATGCAGGGGGATCTGAGACAGATGATGCTGAGCTGTCAGATTGCACGTTGATGGCGCTGAGATACCATGAGTTGGCAGATCAGCGCAAAGGCGGGAATTGATTGTGACATGTTCCTTATTGGGGTCGTTTGAGTATGTTTCAGTCTTTTGGCCATAACTTTGGCTACAGGTGTCAGAATCGCGCATAAGACCCCAATCCGGAAAGCTCTTTTCGACGCGCACGCTCTCCACATGAGCTACGCTCCATGTGGCCTTTTTTTCAACCTCAAATTCTGCCGTTTTTCCGAATCCTAGATTTAGTTATTTTTTACCGATTGTTAAGTAGGAAGTCAATTTAAATCCAATTTAGAGTGATTTTCGGGATTTTGCTATTTTTGGCAAAATTCGAATAAATACGATTTTTGCTATTTTTGGCAAAATTCGAATAAAGACGATTTTTTTAGCTATAACAGTCCGGCTTGTGGACTGCTTTTGACAGTTATTGATTTTATAATATTTTATTAAACCCTAGAGACTTTTTTTCTCTGGTTTTTGGGCGAATTTTCTCTTGTGAATCGTCTGTCGGAGCTAGCCTACAGGATAATCACTATTCTGTCTGGCGTCACACTGCTTGTTGTTATACTTCCAGAGGAAACATTTCCAGGAACATTCAAGGGATTAGACGCCTTTGCATCATTAACCAATGATGTCACCTGGCAAAGTAAAAATATTAAACAGAAGTCAACTCCGCTCATAGGCTCAGATGACATTTTAATAAATCAAATGAATTCAAATATTCTGCTTCAAAGACAGGGTAAACATTCCAAATATAAATACAGAAGAGACTATTGGCTTCCTCTCTTTCAAGAACGTACAAAAAGCTACTTCGGAAATATTGTTACAACTGCAAGTCTCCAACATAAAATCAATTTGCACATAAACACTACTGAAAAAAATATATTTGGAAAATTAACAATCCGACGTCAAATATTCCTTTCACGTCAATTGAATCCGCTAAATTACCTAAATTTATTCTTGGTTCACATACATATTTACAATGAACCAAAATAAACCAAGCAGAACCAAAAGAATGTGTCATCAAATATAGTTTAATCATCATACGTTTAAACTTTCTTTTTAAAAAAAAAGTATATTACCATCAAATAATCCAGCAATAAACTGATTAGAAAAATGCAAGGAACTGACTAGAAAAATCCTACCGCGATAACTATTAATCATTTTCAATTCAAGATATGAAGAAAACAAATCAAATCAAACACCCCCGAAGATTCGAAATTAGGTAACAAAGAGTACCAGCTTGTAAGCATCGGGGAGCGAAAACCGCTGTTCGAAAAGCTTCTGCGTGAATTCAGGATTGGATTTGAGAACAAACGGAGACATCTCCCGGAGCTGCAACAGCTCCGGATCCAAACACGCTATATCTCCAACAGCAACTGCCTCCATTTTCTTTTCTTCGCATAACCAAACACAGCTCAAACAAAGTTTCCTCGCATATCAAATATAATCAACTTCCAAAAAACAAAACCAACATATATAAGCTTAGAAACTTGTTTTTAGTAAGCAATTGAAAAATGTGAACGAGGAACTTCTATTTTGAGCTGGAAAACAACTGGAAACCCTAGATCTCCGTGGAAACAGGTAAACCGAGCTAGGACAATTTTTTCTTATTTTTCCGTTTTTTTTTTCTTTAGACGTTAGCAAGTGAGTGATTTGGGACGAAGCACAGTGATTTACAATTTTCGTAAAAATAATTAAGAGAGAGATTCGGGAGGTAGGTCAGCTAAGAAATTACAGAGATTAGCAACATCTAAGAATAAGAAGAAGAAGAAGAAGAGCAGCAGATTATTTTTTATTTTTTTCTACTTGAAAGAAAAAGAGTTTACCATTTTCCTTGAGAAAAATTAAAATAATTCCACGTGTCCAGTGGGGGAGAAGACACATCTGCAAGGATCATCCTTCTTGTTCAATCTCCACGAATAAAACAAAGTCTGTAATAAAATAACGAATATGATCCCCTTCCTCATTATAGAATATTATTTTATTAAATTTTTTATTATTAAAAATTATAAAATATTTTTAATTATATAGTGTTGTTTTATCAAATCTATTGATTATTAAAAATTTGACAGTTGTTTAAGCTATATAGTAACATTATGAACTAGATATGATAGTCGTTTGATATTTTAAAATTAAATTTTGTCATATCATAATCGACCAATCATCTCAAAAATATCGTCATTCTTTAATAAAAAAATGGCGGGTTTAAAATATAATTAATAGTCAGATGATCATTTTATAATTTTTAATAGTCGAGAGACTCAATAAAGCTACACTCTATAATTGAAAGATCATTTTGTAACTTTTAATAGTTAAAAAACTTAATAAAATAATATTCTATAATTGAAACCTTTAAACTAATATTGAACTAATACAATATTAAGTTACTCAATACAAATTAAATTTCTTTTTAAAAAAAATCCCATTTAATTCTATTATATTATATATTTAAGAAACCTCATTATTCAAAACATATTTGTTATGTAATTTTTCCTTCTATTTTTGTAGGTGTACTTATTTGGGTAAACTATATTCAGTAGTCACTAAATTCTTAGGATGCTTTAACTTTAGTCACTAAACTCAAAAACTATTTATTAGAGTCATTGCATTAAGAAATTTTTTTATTTCGGTCACTACACTGTTAAAAAATTAACAACATTTGATCTGTACGATTACTAGACCGCTAAAGAATTAATAACAGTTGATATGCACGATGACACGTCCTTCTTAATAATGAATTAATATCCACCAATAAGCTGGCATAATTTAAGTATGTATTGATATTTGAATCTGATATAATATAATATAATATGAATAAACAATATTCCAATTAAATTATGAAATAAATTTATTTTATAAAAATAAAAATTATAAATAATATTTATAAAATTAATATTTTAATTATTTTTATAATTAAAATTAAAAGTATACTCTTATATTATTTTAATATTATGTTATTATTAATTTATTTTATGAAATACATAAAAAATAATTTAGGTGGCATAATTTAACTTATATATTATATTTTATCAAAATATCATGAGTTCATGATTAAAATGAAAGTTTTTTTTAATAATCGATGTGATTATAAAGTATTATATATTCAAAATCTTTTTAAGTTATTGAACAATAACTAAGCTTTGAAACTAAGTATGAAACTTATTTTTTTAATCAACGACAGATGAAAGAGTTACAAATACTGAAATTACATAACAAGACAAAGTAGGAAAATAGGAACTGCAACTGCCAATAGGCCTGTAAATGAACTGAACGTTCAGCGAACCGTTCGTGAACCGTGCGGCGGGAAGTTCGTTTATGTGCGTTTATTTATTAAATGAACGAACATGAACAATATTTTTTGTTCGTTTAATTAAATGAACGAACATGAACATAGGTCTCGTTCGTTCATTTACGTTCGTGAACGTTCGATTATGTTCGTTCGGTTATGTTTGTTTATGTTCGTTCGATTATGTTCGTTTATGTTCATTCATTTATGTTTAACTCAATCTTCTTAAATCAATTTTGGTGACCAATTTGTAAGTATCTTAAAAATATTAATTAATCTGATATTCTGATGACCAACTCCATAATTAACCCAATTTTATTTGGAGATTAAATCCAATATGTTAACCTGTGAGGCACATCGCACCTATATTCATTTCCCCCTTTTTCCCCAAACCCTAGTGTTCACTAGAGAGTGGAGACGATCGCTGAAAGCTTCAAAACAAATTATATTATAGTGCAATATAAAGTTTTACAGGTATGTTTTCATCTCTTTCTCTGTTTTATTTGGCTTAATAGTTGATATGTAAAGTTATTGCAGGTATCTTCACATTTAAAACTCAAGAAAACATCATACTTTTTTCTAGAAATAGATGGGAAGATAAAGGTAACAATCGGAAGTATATGAACATCAATAAAGAGAAAAATATATAGAATTTGCCAGAAAACAAAACAAAGGTTTCTATGCAATTTCTGAAAAGAGTGTAATAGCGAAAAATGATTGTTCATATGTAATCATGGACCACTAAGATAAATATTATAGCGTTAAATTAAAGTTGTGTGAATCATTTAATATCTTTAAAAGATCGATCAAAATATTTAATATCTTCAAACATTTCATCACTGCTAATAAACTCTTACGCTATTTATCACTGTAGATTTGGTTATTTACATTGTCGACTATTTTTCATGAAAGAACAATGGAAGGTAGGGTCTCCAACGTTTATGTTTGTTTATGTTCGTGTTCATTTATGTTCGTGTTCGTTTATGTTCGTGTTCGTTTATGTTCGTTTATTTATTAAATGAACGAACATGAACATATTATATTCCTTGATAAACGAACATGAACAAAAAATATTTTGTTCGTTTATGTTCGTGTCCGTTTATGTTCGTCTATTTATTAAATGAACGAACATGAACATACCTCCGTTCGTGTGCGTTCGATTCGTTTACAGGCCTAACTGCCAACATAGCTTTTCCCATGAATAAATATTTAACAAAATAAGCCTGGATCCAAGTATCTGATTCTCTTCATTAACTCTACAACAACATAGCTTCACAACCACTAACATAATCACACGCATATATATAATACGACATTCCACCAAAATATATGGAATTTGGCAGCAACGACACCCCATGATGCATGCAAGAATTTCGTTCCGTAGCTCGGGAGAGAGATGATTTTTTCTCGGACCCTGAATGGACTCTCTGGCTTGTGGAGAGGCGACTGCTACCTGAAAGAAGCCAACTCGATCGACTATCGATGGGCCCTAAAGAAGAGGTTGGCCGGCCGCTAGAGGCAACAGCCCTCTTGGACAAGCTGCTAGGGCGGGTGGAAGAAATCCGTACCCTTCCAGAATCATTATCCTGGAAAACCATGATAGAAGTTCATAATAGCATTCGGAATAAAAGATGATCAACTCTAAATACATCCTTATATCCAAATATATTCGATGAAATAGATCCAGATCCATATAGGAAATGGGAAAGAAAACAATAACCTAGTAAATACAACAAAGTTCAAGGAAGTCAGATGCATACCCTATCATTCGATGGTGATGCCTTCTCTGATACTTTCTGTTTTGAATGATCAATGAGATGTCCACTGCCTGAAGCGTTTTTCCTAGTAAATGCCTCGGCAGCACCTGAAACTCTATCCCGGGTTTCTCGTGCTACAGTCAAAAACATGGAAGAAAAAGAGGGCAAAATCGATTAGCATCTGCTTAACACAGGGAAAGCATTTTTCTTTAATGAAGTAGCAGCCCAGAAACATGTTGAATCACTTGGCTGTAAATTGGCAAGGTTAAGTATCAGAGCCTCGAGCATGATAGTGGCAATTAAGAAATGTATCTAGAAGGAACTCTAGAAAACTACAAAAATCAGAAAATCCAAATATGTTCTAAGCGTTCTAAATATTTTAACTGCAACACAACAGTATATCCTCCTCCCTACAACCTCTCCAGAGAACGGAAGACACCTGATGGCTTCTTTGTTCTTTCAGCAGATGTTCCAGTGTTTACAGCAACTTTTCCACTTGATGGCTGAAAAGACACAACAAAGCAAATAAGAATCATCTGTGATAGGAGAGATGTACAGCTCAACAGTCACACTCACTGACCCGTTGTTTAGAGCTACCAGTCAGCTGGGGATACTTGAGTATAGTCCAATCATATACATAGTCGAACTGATATCCTGTGAACAAAACCAAGTTGGGTCAAAAACCACCTTCCACCTGCGTTCAAAGAAATATTTTGCAACTTCTTGAAAACAGGAAAGTTAAATTCAGCCAGAAACAGAATGAGCAGACAGACACGCTATCGATTTTGCAAAAACAAAATGTGTTCACAACATGTTTAAAACACATTTTACCAGATGTTGGTATGCAACATCCTTATTCTATTTGAAGGTGCATGAGTTAGTTACTGATATTTGGGTACAATCAATTCTGAAACAGAGACACCAATATATGCAGAGTTTCTTCTACATTTCAGTGACTCTGACAAGACCAGAAGAAACTAGAAAGGTAGGTCATCAAGTTTCCAGAAAACAAGCCATCTTCAAGTTGTTTCCACTATAGTGCACGAATTTTAAATTTCATAAGTGTCATGCTTTGAATGGTAGTGCTTGTGTTAAGACGCACTTAGACTAGGGTATTCAAGACATTAGAAATATTTTTGGGCATTACAAAAGATACAAACAACTCCCATCCATTTGTAATAGCTGAGGTATGAAGAAAGTATTTTTGAACTTGAAACAACAATGCTAGGTTCTTTCTTACCTTCTCGAATAAACAAGTCACGGAAAAGCTTCTTCAAGTACGAATAATCTGGCTTGTCTTCAAAGCGTAATGAACGGCAATAATGGAAGTATGATACGAATTCAGATGGATATGACTTGCAAAGTACCTAACGGAAGGATTAGCTTATTTTAGGTGATTAGTCACAAACAAGGGAAGTGTACTGACAGGGTAATGGCACCAGCCTTGCCTTATCGAATTCAATACGAATTCACCATGCATTAAACTATAAGCATAGTATCCTACATGCAAGTGACAAGTTGAAACTTAAAATACCTCAACAGGTGTTAACATCTTCTTTTCACTGATTCTATCATACTTCTGTTTTTTTGTTCCTGCTCTAAGGCCCTGCCATGGAAGGCTAATTCCAGCAATACAAAAATTTTAAGAACGTGAATAAAGAGAAATAGATTTTACGTAAAATTTAGAACACAAAAAAGAATAGTGTTTATATTGCTATGACCTTCCCTGTAAGAAATACATTAGCACATAACCAAGTGATTCCAAATCATCTCTTCTGCTTTGCTCTGCACATGAATTGAGAAACAATTAGAATGCACTATTCACATCATGACTAACATGAATAAGCAGAGACAAGATGATAACTAATCTGGCACTTGACCCACCAACTCCAAGGTGAGTGTTAACACTTGCATATCGAGCTGTGCCTGTAAGATTCTTGTTCTCTCTGTAAAAATAGCAAAATCAAAGTAAATATTGAACACAGCCACTCAAATAAACAATTGAAACTAACCCTAGATGCCAATGCTAGTCAAAACGTGATTGCTTTTTGGACAATTTAAAGCAGCATGTAAGCAATTGAACATGAAAGAATGCAAGTAAAAGCAGACGACAACTGTTCAAGAACTTCCAAAGTACTCTGGTACCCGCCTTTTCTAGCTTGTTTAGTTAGACGCTATCATTCAATGAGAATCACCACCCATAAGCAATTAATTTACAAGTACCTACCTTTCAGATAGAAAAACATGTCACATACTAGATAAACGGAACTGCAGAAAACAAGGACTCATAGTAAGACTATTATGGATAAGCAACACCGGTAAATGCATACCTATATGGTATGTGTTTATGAGTTTGAAGATCCCTATACTTTTTAGCAAGGCCGTAATCAATAACATACACCTGTTACAAAATCAATGTGATGATTAGTAGCAAGTTGATACATTTAGCTGATGGCCCTTCACATAACAAATATATACAGCTGCAATAACATTTAGAATATACAGTTATCAACTATTGATACAGGCAAGAGATGCTGTAGCAGACTTTAATACATAATCAGAGCTGACCTAAGGCGTCAACATGCAATAATATTTGAATAAAGTTATACATGAAGAAAAACAATTAACTCTACAAGAGGATATCATGATAAAATTTTACTTGCCCATATGTTATTTCAATATCTTAATTTAACGCTTCATTGAATTAAATAATTGCATCATATTTAATATGTAAAAATGCTTATGTGAAAATTTCACAAAAGAAAAATCATATTGATGCATTAGCGATACAAGATCATGTAGATGTCCTCTCCTTAAACTTCTTGGTTACCATGTATCAGACATTGAACCATTGAAACTCACAGTTCAGACAAAAAAGGATTAGCTTTTAGTCCGGAAACATGATACTATTCTCTTTTAAACTCTCTTATGGAAGTCTGAAACTATTAACTGCTACAATTGTAAGTGTGAACGATGAATTGTTCTTACTGATGGATAATCTTAAGAACCACTTATTGGTATTAGCAAGATATAAAATAATAAACTCCACTCTCCAAAATTCACCCTTTATCTGTTTCACCAACCATGAACTATGATTAAATTTCAAATGAGTGGCACTCAGCACTCCACAATCTAACCAGAAATTGAAAGAATTTAGCTGTTGTACCTGGTTTGCTTTTCGTCCCAAACCCATTAGAAAGTTGTCAGGTTTTATATCACGGTGAAGAAATCCCCTTGAGTGCATATATTCAACTCTGTTGATCTGAAGGGCAACAGAAATAGGAGAATTTGTCACACTTGATGCTAAACTAGCAGGCAGAAAACAAATATCTCCAGTAAGACAGGTAAACATACTAACTGATCTGCGAGCATTAAAACTGTCTTCAAAGAGAGTTTTCGATTGCAGTAGTTGAACAAGTCCTCAAGGCTTGGCCCTAGAAGCTCGATAACCATAACATTGAAGTCACCATCAACTCCAAACCAATTGAGGTGGGGAATCCCCGCTTCATCAAAAACAATAAAGAAAAAGAACAATGAACTTTAGCTAATCTTTTTTATATCGATTTCATTTTTCTCATTATACTTATTTATAATCAGCACAGAAAATAACAAAATCTTACTTCCGCCTTGAAGAAGCATGTACAACTTTGATTCATAGTGCAGCTGAGGGTGCTTGGTCTTCACAGGTTCCTAAAAATGTAGGCAAAAATATATCATACTGATCAATATCCAATGAGATTAAAGTAGGGAATTGACAGACATGTTCTAAATTCACTTCTCGCAACATTTCAGTAAGTAAAAGGCACTTTTCATTCCACAATACATGCACAGTAGTGACATCTAAAGTACTTCTATGAAGCAACAACACTCAGTCTAGTTACATTTTCATAAATTTCAGCCGCATATCCACCTTTTGTCAGAGATATTTGGTCAAAAGGGAAAAACAAAATATTGACAGACATTGCACAAACGCGGTTTTGAGAAATACAAAACTTAAAACTGCCAAAAACACAAGGCCATATTCTAAATTTTAATATATCTTTTAATCCAAATCTGTGTTCTGGTCAGCATTTCCCAACACATCACAAGTTCAAAGCTCAATAATTTAGCGTTCACTCAATCCAATCTAGCAATCAACTCAACTTCATCAAAGGGCAACGTATGTTCTGATCCAATAAATTTTGTAAACTCACACTTACAAAAATGACTATACATAACTATTCTCATAACATTATGATCACTTGATTTAACTCTTTTCCACGCAGAATATTTAAAATCCAACTGATTGCATTGATATTACAAATACAAGTAGCTAGACTCGAAATGTAAAACAATTCCCTAGAAATTTCTTATAACCAGATGGTGACATATCAATATAAAACCAGTAAATTACTAACAAAAATCGAGCTAATCAAATATATACTAAAAATTTAATTCCAGAAACACAAGGCACATACCATCTTAATCGCAACTTCTTCCCCTGTCTGTACATTGACCCCTATCAAAACAAATTCCCATAAATCATATTAATTATTACTTCAATTTAGAAGGTAAAAAAACAAAGAGGAAAGAAAAAAGAGAAACAGATTTACCGAGGAAAAGCTCGCCGAAAGATCCAGCTCCGATCTTCCGGCCCATTTTGAATTTTCCACCGAGTACACGATCCATTATCAAATTTACTTGATTATTCAGCAAAAAATAATCAAAAACTCTAATAAAAATTTATAATCAGACGATTTGATAACAAAATCGGCTCAATTGGGAGAAATAGGAGGCGGAAATTATTGGGTCAATGAACCACATTGCTTAAAAAAAAAGAGATAACAGTTTTGGTGCGAAAAAATCAATAAAATGGAATTAAAACAATGAGATTGTCAAATGATTAGAGGAAAAGAAAGAGGGAAGGAGAGACAAAGAAATCAAACGAAGATTTTCGATTAAGAAGAAGAACGAGAAAGGGAATTTTCTCCGTTTCTCTGATCTTTGGGATTTTTTTTAAGAAAACGAATTTTATTTTATTTTTTCCTTAATGGAAACTTTTTTATCTTTCTTTCTTTTAGCACATTCTGTTTTGTGCGCAGTTAATACTTAAGAAGGCGAGCGGCTGGATCAAGCACGTGACCAACACGTGCATAACAGTTCATTACGTGGCATTACAACGTACCGTTATTTGTTTTTCCTTTTTTTTCTTGTTTCCTTTTGATTTTCCCAGCAACCAAACAGAAGCAAAGGAGCTAGTTCAGCCAGAAAACTAAAAACAGGGAAGCTAGAAAATCGAGAAAATGAACAAAAACTCGTTTGGATCAAGAATTAACGATGGATCCGTTGAAACAATTCCAGGAAATGCTGGAATCTGGTCTTCTAATGCGAGTAATTCACATCATTCTATTCGAGTTTTTGTTAGATCATATGAAAAAATCAATATTCTCCGGTGTTTAACGACTGTGAAATGAATATTTCAGGAATATATGCAGAATATTTTTTTAACATAGAGAATAAATTTTGTTGCGTTAATTTAGTAAGAAGAATCATTCGAAAATTTATTTAGGGTTCCCAAAACATTCTAATGCGAGTAATTCACATCATTCTATTCGAGTTTTGTTAGATCATGAAAAAATCAATATTCTCCGGTGTTTAACGACTGTGAAATGAATATTTCAGGAATATATGCAGAATATTTTTTTAACATAGAGAATAAATTTTGTTGCGTTAATTTAGTAAGAAGAATCATTCGAAAATTTATTTAGGGTTCCCAAAACATATTTTATTTTCCCTGGTTTAAATCACCATCAATTTGATCCCACAAATTTAACGATTTTTCATGCAACTGACTATCTCTGTATACCTCAATTTGCTGCAGCTAATGCTTCGAGTTTTCAGGGAATTCCTGCTGTAAAAAATAAGGTGACAACTCTTCTTATGATGTCGAAAACTATGGAGTTGTTAAGGTGCATTTCTATGGCGGATTCATGCAAATGCATACTATCTTTTGTCATCTTTATCAACAAGAAAGATTTAACAACATAAGTGCTGAATTTGCATAGGCATTGCCATTAGTGACCATTTATATCTTACGAAAGACTTATCTCGGTAATGCTATCAGTATTTTAAAAGGTTCAAGGTGGCGTTTGGTTAGCAGAAATATATTAGAATTAGAGGGAATTGTAATTTAATTCTATCATTTTTCTATGTTTGGTTCAAGTTTTCAAAGGGAATTGAAATCCTTCATGACTTCAACTTTCTATCAAATGAGTGAAAGTGAATTCCATCCATTCTATGATGGAATTCAATTTCCTTGTTGGATGGAATTGAAATTTGACTATACTACCCTCATCAATCTTTTGGTAACTTATTCATATATTGAATAAAAATATTTTTTTTATTATTTCGGGTCAGATTTCTAATTCATATATTCGGGTCTGGTCGGGTGAAACTTTATTTCGGTCGGATCGGGTCAGTTTTTTTTTAAGTGTGATATTCGGGTCGGGTTGGGTTGGGTTCGGGTTTAGGGTGAAAAATACCCGACCTAAAAATATATAATTTTACCTTATATATTTAGGAATAATTACAATAATACCCCTCTATATATAATTTTTTTCAATTAAGTCACTGTTTTTATTGAATAAAAATAATTTTTTATTATTTCGGGTCGGGTCGGGTCTCGGATGGAGGTTCCCTTGTTCTCGGGTCAGGTCTGGTGGACCAAAAACCCGACCCATGGCCATCCCTAATTGGGATGATTTTAACTTATGATGTTTATTAGCATGATTTTTATAATTTATTAAAATAAATAATCAATCAATAAAATTAAAATTTAATATTTTTTAAATTTTTATAATATATTGCTACATGTAATTTATAAAACAAACTAAAATTAAGCAAAAAAAAAACAAGAAGGGCAATCGTGTCATTTTACATTATTGAAATCAAATTCATCTGACATGTTTGCGAACCAAACAGAATATGAAATTGAATTCCAATTCAATATTCTGCTAACCAAACAGAATATGGAATTGAATTCCAATTCCTGATAGATTTCAATTCCTTCCAGATTCTAGTTCCCTCGAAAACATTTTAGCGAACCAAACGCCACATTTGCGGATAGAATTAAGCACTTGCTCTTTGTAATTTCATTGCCTTTTTCGATCAAATACAGTCTATTTGTGGTGGTGAGACTTATCTGCTCTAGTTATTCATACATTGTCCGAATCAACTATTCTTTCGATCCTTGGATTTAAGTCTGCATTATTCAATATCCACAGGCTCTATGGCTTCATCGTCGTTTCCTTTCCCTTGGTTTGATATGGCATTTGATTACTTTTTTTTGGTATTTTGTGCCATTCCGAGCAGAAAACCGGCAAGGATAGCGAAATCGATATCGTTTTGGACAATGAATTATGTCTCCTGGATCCCTGCTCAACCATTCAAGATTGGATCCTTTCAAAGCACAAGCCGTCGACACTTTACTCTTTATGGTTGATAAAGGTAACCGTAACAATTTTGCTAAAATTATATGGAGATTGAACTAAATGTGAAGCTGGAATCTGGAAACTCGAAGAACACATAACATGCGACATGAGGAGAAAGATCTTTCCTTTGGGATTTTGCAGAGCTCAGAAGCTTTTGAAATAAACATGTAAGCCCGAATTAACTCTTCGGTAAATATTACGCATTTAATATCGTATGCCCATGACTATTTTATCTGGTTTTGGTGAACTTATATGCTCAAATTGGATTGTGGTACTGAAAATAGTCTGGAATTGCACTTTTCATCTAATGTTTGATGACCATCTATCCTATTGACAAGAATGTGACAATAATGTTATGGTGGTCTCAACTTCCAAGGGTGCATCCTCATGTTTTTCCAGCTTTGTGGAGATCCGAATTCCCTGAAGGTAAGGTAAGCTATTATAAATCTAAGAAATGGCTGACCATTCCTACTCTGCCTAGGTCCTTGAAAGAAACTTGCATCCGGAAAGAGAGTGATGTGAACCGATTGAACATCATATTCATCCTTGCATCTCCAACCTTTCATAAGATTCAAAGGAGGACTTTCTCCATCTTATTATTTTCCTACACTATGATTATGATGATTATATTCAGAATATATGATTCATATCTCATTTATGGCATAGATATATTTATATACATATATTACATCTATAGCTATGATAATAACATTTCATTCATTATTATGTGATGCATGAAGTTATTATTATATAGCCTTAGCCCACATCTTTATATGTAATATTTATTACTTTAAATACTTAGCTTATATTGTGTTTTCTTTTGAAGGTACATTCGGCCACACCTAAGGGAGTTGATTTGAGCTAAATGATGAAAGCTACAGCAGGACACTCATATAGGGACATTTAGGAGAACATAAGGAACATTTGGTGAAAAGTTGTTCAGAGACAAGTGGGCTCATAGCTGCGTTGAGCTAGAAGATGACTTCAATTCAGCTGGGGAGCTGCACCATCATCACCATCGCTCAGAATACTTCAAATATGGTCAAGTCAAATTTTCTAAAATCGTACCTTTTCTCGAAGAGTTGCATTTCCAGGAGGTGACTTTTCACAAGGAGTTGTCATAACACTCACCATGTTACAACTCACCTATGGCCAACTTACCTCCAGCTCATTCACCTAAGAACTAGCTAAAACATGAAAGGATACCTTTCAACAATTGTGACCTTTCATGAATGTTGTTGTCCATGAAAGTGCCCTTTCATCAAGGTGCACGTTGGTGAAGAGATCTCATCAAATGGAGACTTAAATCACGAAGAGGTATGAGGCAAGCAACATGACCATTCGACTAGCCCCACACGCCTAGCACATGAACAAGACTTGGCGCCAAAGTGAAGCAACACATAACCATTCGGCCAAGGGAGATGCACCTTCATTCCAGCCGAATCATCAAGTCCTTTCATGAAGGAGTAACTGAACCAACACAAGGTCAAGTGACATCCTCATTCGTCCAAAGCATCATGCACCTTCAATTAATCATGTACTTAGCCGAATGGGCATCTAATTATTCGGCCAGCCCTCTCATTTCCTATAAATTGAGAGGTTGTCATCATTTGTAATCATCTCATTCATTTATATAAAAATTTCTTTGTGAGTTAATCTCTCTTTAAGGTTCTTTAAGAACTTTATCGATTAAGCAAATATATTTTTATACTTGTGCGTCATTCTTTCCATCTTGATTCTTTTAATTCCTAAATTTCATATCTAGTGGGTTTAAGACACCATTACCATCCCTCAAGCAAGTTTGCGAAGACCGGGGTTGTGCTCCTTAGCATAGCTTCTTCTTTGGCATGATTGAGATACAACTTCATCACCATCTTCCATATTCATTCATTCAACTTCGACACCATCATCCATCTTCCATTGAAGGCCACCAACAACATCATCTTCAATATACTTCCGCAACCTACTCTTTCTTCCATTTATTCATTTTTTATCATTTTAATTACTTATCCATTTCATTTATCCTTACTAATCATTTTTACTTATCTTTCTTTATTGCGGCCATACTTGCAATTCAAGGGCATCGCTTCTGTCATTCCTAGATTGGGACAACAATAAGGATGTCTATTCACTTCCTTTGATGGGTGTAGATTTGCCTTACATCAGAGAGGAAACACCCTACGTCACCCCGAGTTAGGGACAAGTATCAGGTATGAGCACTATCGATATTTTGATTTTTTTTTTCAAATGTTTAGAGAATCGAATATACATGTGCTTGTATGATTTAGAACACATATATTGAAATGAAGAGTCCAAATAACATAGAAAGCAACAACCAAAAGCGAAACCCGAGTTCGCCGAGTAAGAATTAAAATTGATCTTCCCCATTGCTCACCATAAATA